ACTACAGGAATGCGCTTCGTCTTAAATAAACAGGTTTGTTTGCTTTTTTCCAGTCAGGATTAGCAGATGCTAGTAGGGGTGCTTAGTTACATATCATTGCTCATTACAAATACAGAGTTCTGGCATGAAACTCTAGATGGCGCTGTCCGAAAATTATTTTAACTTTAATGACATTTTAACACATTTTAATGAAAGATAACTTTCGCACTTATGTCTCTGTCAGATTTGTCCTGCTTTGAATCATGCTGCACTGGTTCTGGTTAACCAGCTACTGGAAACAATCCCAGGTTAGAGAACGATGTTGATCATTGTAAAACTGTCATGATATATTGATCTGTCAGACTCGTGTGTTTACGGGAATGTGTTTTTCAGTGCGCGCGGAGGTGGACAGTTACGTGGGCATCGATTACTCACTGCTAAATGACCCTGTGGTGACAGAAACTAGCCTTGATATGGATTTTAGGGTGAGTGACAGATGACTAGTTACTGAACTTGATATGCAAGTTTACACAAAGGTTTTGGGTCAGCAAAGATACATTATTTATACTTATCAAAGAATTCAGAAATAATTTATCATATAGCTCAACTGTTTTTAACATTGATAATAATAAGAAATGTTTCTTGAGCAGCAAATCAGCATATTAGAATGATTTCTGAAGGATCATGTGACACTGAAGACTGGAGTAATGATGCTGAAAATTCAGCTTTGATCACAGAAATAAATTACATTATATTACATTGCATTTAATTACAGAAGAGTTATTTTAATTTGAAACAATATTTCACAATATTACGTTTTTTTTACTGTGCTTTTGATAAAATATATGAAGCCTTGGTGAGTTGCTGCTGTTGAAAACATTTAAAAAATAAAAAACAAATATAGCCAATACTATGGTGGATTTAATTACCTGCTACTCCATGGTATATATATATATATATACTGTATATTTAATTAGATGTTAAAATATCTTATAGTGATATTTTTAAGTTTACTTATATTACCTCATATTTTTGATATATTTATTGATGTAAATCTATAAATTAAATATTGCAAATCTTAACTTGTCCAAAACATATTTTTAAAAATATATTTTGTTCGCCCAAAAATTTATTTTAAGACTGCAAATGTATTTTCTTGCTGCTTGAAGTAGGCTTACATTTTCTATTAGCCTATATATTTTGGAATTTAAGGGTGTAAATGAAATACAGTTTTTAATTTGAAAAAAATATGGTGCTGTTTACACAATATATTTAGCATATATTCTACATATATTTATATACCGTATATAGAATTATGGGTAGAATATATGTCAAGTTTTTTTAATGTATTATTTATGTGTTTCTCTCCCTCTCTCGTCTACACAGGGCATGTTTTATGACCTTAAGAATGAGAACGAGACGCTCGTGAACTACGCTGTGAATCCGATAGTGAGAGAGTATGATCGTATGATCTATCTCGCTCTCTCTGAATTCTTCTTTGACAGCGGCCTCTTCTCTTACTTCAAAGGTGGACTGTTCCAAATGCAGATTGCAAACGAAAGAGTAAGACACCATCCAATACACTTCAAGGGCATGATACACTAATAAGAGAAAAGCAACTATTGCTCGACTCATTTCAGATGCCCAAGGACTTGGAGATGCTCCTCAGGACCACCTACTTGGGGACAATCATGATGTTGGTGAGCAAAACTAAGATGTAGAAATCGCATAGCAATGTCCCAGCAACCATCTATTCTCTGTGTTTGTCTGTCCAAGCAGAACCCGGCTCTAATAGAGCATCCTCTGTCGCTGGAGTTAGAGGTCACATCTCCTCCTCGGTCCACTATCAAGACCTCTGGCGCCAGTGTGGCTGTCAACTGTAACCTCAAAGTGTTGGTTCTTCCTCCAGGAAAACCAGCAGTCCAGCTCAGCAGCATGACCATGGTGAGGAGAACTACAGTATACACCAGGGTTCCTCAAATCTTGCCCTGGAGGGCCAATGCGCTGCAGAGTTTAGCTCCAACCCTGATCAAACTCAGCTACCTGTGATTTTCTAATGATCCTGAAGACACTGATTAGTATGCTCAGGTGTGTTTGATTAGGGTTAGAGCTAAACTCTGCAGGAAAGTGGATCTCGTGGGCCAGATTTGAGGATCCCTGGTATACACAATATATACAACCAATAGTTTCAGAATGAAGGGATGTTATAAATGCACCAAATTCATCTTGTTTTTAGGTAGGCAAATTCAACGCAAAAGTATCAATGAAGGGCAAGCGCTTGGCCATCCATTTAGATCTGAGAAGGTGAATATGATGCACAAACACTGAACTGTATTTGACTCATTTTTAACATTGATTTTGAACGGATAATCTGTTTTCAGGTTTAAAATTTTCTCCAATCAATCTGCTCTCGAGTCTTTGGCTGTAAGTTTGCGTTTCCAGACACAAATATATTTGATGTAAAACTAATCAAGAGCAGATATAGTCAATGTAATGAATATTTTCCTTCAGCTTATTCCACTGCAAGGTCCGTTGAAAACGATGCTGCAGATATCTGTGGTGCCTCTCATTAACAGTAAGTGAAACAATATATATATATATATATATTAAATGACGTCTCATGCTCAAGGCTGCATTTACTTGATTAAAAAATAACAGTAAAAATTGTGAAATATTATTACAATTTAAAACAAGTGTTTTTTATGTGAATATATGTTAAAATATAATTTATTCCTGTGATCAAAGCTGAATATTCAGCATCATTACTCCAGTCTTCAGTGTCACATGATCCTTCAGAAATCATTCTAATATACTGATGTGCTGCTCAAGAAATTTTTTTTTAAATCAATGTTGAAAACAATGTTGTGCTGCTTCATATTTTTTAAATATTAAAATTTTTTTCAGGATTATTATTTTTTTTCCAGAGCATTTATTCAAAAATTACATTTAATGTCACATTTGATCAACTGAATGTGTTCTTTCTGAATAAACTTTAATTTCTTTAACAAATCATTTTACTGACCCCAAACATATTCATTAAAATATTTCAAACAAATCTAAATGTGTTTTCATGTAAGATTACACCAAGCGAGGTGTGCAGATCCCTCTTCCGGACGGGATAGACTTCATTGAAGAGGTGGTGGAGTATCACAATGTAAGTGGCTGGTGAAACTTTTAACATCTTCAGCAAATTTTGATATGCTCAGCTATGATTCTCTATGATCTCACAGGGCTACATCATCGTGGGGGCAAACCTACACTTCAGAACAGGTCTGAGAGAAATAATCGAGAGGAAGCTGTCGGGTGAGACAGACAACTCAATTTAAGACCAGAGAAGAGCCAGGCTAACATTACCGCATGTACAAAGTCATGCACGGATACTAAAATAAGGAGCAATAAATGGAGGTTGTAACTAACCTTCCAGCAGAAGCATGATGTTTATTAACTGTACAGAACATCTGATTCTCAAGACCTGCTATCGTTACAGTAAATTCAACCTATTTACTCTCTGAATACACATTCCTGGTGCAATTGTGAACAGTTTGCACTTTATGCCAACATGCAATCCCTATTTTTTCTAATTTCCTCCCAATACTTAATGCAATATTATACTGCTAATATAATGAACACTGGCAGTCTCTAACAATTAATTAGTGCAAATTACCAACCTTGTCGGCAAAGGCTGTTTTCACTATTGCTTAGGAATTTCACCTTTAGCACGAATAGCGCATTTTTTCTATTTACACTTTGTGCAAACAGTATCTATCACTATTTGCTCTGTGTAAATACAGTCTAACTTTTTACACTCCGTGTAAATAGCTGTTGCATGAAGATTACACCAGTATAAGCAAATAAGTATATATTTGCAAAAAGCAGCATTACCGTTTGGATACGTAGAGCTGCTCTTGAGGATGGGATTTCAATAGAAAACAGATCCCCCACAAACCAATACAAAGTTACATTTAGACATGACTCTGTTCTAATATCAAACACCCACCCAATTAATCAGTGCATTAATACGAAGTACCAAACTACATTTTTTACCCACATTTCAGAAGCAAAATGGGTTGCAAATACAGGTTCATGTCGACTTTAAGGTATTGCACCAGTGTCTGAACCCTGAAAACACATGTACAACTCTTTATACTGTGTTCTTAGGTGTATAAAACAATGTATTTGTACTTTTAGTTGCATTTTATGATTTTTTGTACAAGTTTTATCGTATATTGATTGTTTAATATGAGATAGGTTTGCCATCCTCATCTGTGAATAAAATCACTGTACCTCTTTATAAAAATGACATGTTAAAAATCAGCAAATGTTACAGTTTTTGATCTGAAAACTTGTTTAGTTCATCATTGAAATGATTGAAAGGGTTTAAAAATGCACCGTTTTCTAAAATTAAAAGATCACAAAGAAAAACTTAAAATCATAGAAAACTTCTTTAATTAAAAAAAATAAAAACTGGGGGGAAGAAAAAGATAAAAAGGCACAAAAATTATTCCCTTATGAGCACAAAAAGTACCAGAGATAATGTACATCACTTTAAACCACAATCAAACCAAGCAACTCAGTGACACCTCAACAAACGTCTACAGTTATCACAGCGAGGTATTAATACCTGAAGGGATGACAAAAATAATCTGTGCGATGATTAATAAAAGCTACAGTTTCATGTTTAATAGAGAAGACAAGCTAAAATTGTGCAATAAACACTCACAGCTGATCGGATCGAATTTCAATTCGTAAACACTCAGCATCTCTCGCAATTAAATCAATCATAATAAAAGATCGACGGAGGAATATAGACATCTGTGAATCTCTTAAACACATATGATGAAACATCCTTATGTACAGTCAGCATGACTTTAGTTCACAGGCTGGCAACTAAACTACATGAATACATTATCAGTTTTGAGTGGCAAAGTGACAGAAAACGGTCAGTGGTCCATCCATCAGAAACATTTTACCAGTGTGACAGTGCAAATCCAGATTTAAAAAGAGTAAAAATCCCCGACTGTGTTCTAGTAAGGTTGTTTGGTGATGAAGCGACTGAACATTGTGAAGGCCGCTATGGGTTTGTCAGTGGGAACCATGTGACCCGAACCCTGTGGAGGACATAGATAAATACAATGTAAAAAATAAAAACAAAGCAAAAATAATAATAGAATACAAAAAAGAAAAAGAAATAAAAAGTTCACCGAGAAAAAAAGCTCACAGATGCATATACTAGGTAAAACTAGTTTACAATGGAAGTGTATGGAGTTCTCCATTCTAAACCCAATTAAGCTGCGTTATGATGCCTAAAATGCTATGTAGGCAGCTCAGGAGATGTTTGAAATAATATCATGGCACTGATTTCTTGTGCCATTGATTTTAATGCAGTCTCACCTTCACTGTGAGGAAAGCGATGTGGGTGAATTCCTTTACAAAGCCGCCGATCTGCTGAGTTTCACCATTGAAATAAATCCAAGGTCAGCGCTGCACCTGCACCTGTTGGAGAAGATAAAGAGAGATTGTTTATTCTGCTACAGCAAAAAAGGTTATTTTAGACCACCAACAATATGGACCGTCTAATACATAATTGTACAAAAATGGGAAGAGTTCCCCCCCCCCCCAAAAAAAAACATTTAATAACAACAACAACAAAACAAATTTAATGTTGTTATTTCTTCTTTATTTATTTATTTATGATTTAACACCATGTCTGCAGCAATGGCTATATTCATGGCAAAAATAATTCAATTGCATAACTCAAATTCAATCAATATCCTTTCAATACAAAATTTAAAAAATGTAACAATTTTATCTAAAAACAAACACACACACACAACAACAAAAACTAAAATAACAACAATAATAGCAATATTCAGCTTACTATATGACAAGTTCTAGAATTATTTCAGGAGAAACCTTTTTAAAAATGTAAATTAATATATTTTCTGAATAAAAATGTTACCTAGTATAATTTAAAAATGGACTAATAAATATCTATTAAAATATACTACAAATATTGTATTAAAATATACTATAAAAATATAACATCTATTAAAATATAATTTTTCTTTTTATTATAAAAGTTACATAATATTTTTCTGAATATTATTTGTTATTATTAATTTCTCAGTTTATTTAAATACTACTACAAACAAACAAACAAATACACAAGTTGTGTTGTCTTATTGACTGGGAGTTAGGATGCACAGATTTCTTTTTTAATTTGAAAAACACAGACAGACAGACAGAGACAGAGACAGAGACAGAGACAGACACACAGACACAGACACAGACACACACACACAGACACACAGACACACAGACACACACACTTAATGAGCAGACCCCAGACCAAGACTAAAAGAAAGTAGGACACAATATCAGTGGGCAACAACTCGCCTCTTGCTGGAGCGACTCCACAAACCATTCGTCTCCTAGGAAGTTGCAGGCCATGTCCACATCTCCATTATATACCAACACACGGTATTTCTGTTGAAAAAAAAAAAAAAAAAAAAAAAGTAATTACAATCAATAAGAGCTGGTAAATATTTGATTCATAAGAGTTTACATTTCCATCACTCACTAGTGCTCCAAGCAGCTTCAGGTACTGTTTCTTCACATCCTTGAACAGCCGGTTATAGTTCAGATTGACTTCAGCACTGCAACAAACAACCAGACACAATTGCAAATGAAAATCCTCTATAACAAAACTCATCTGCATGGTTAAAGTCCACTCAACACACCTACAGATGACCCAGTCCAAAGCATTGGGCGAGATGTGGAGAGCAGACTTCACCTGCGGGTTGTTGAGATACAGGGTGGATGGAGTAGAGTTGGTACACGGAGGATCCAGCCTCGAAGATTTGAACAGGGAGACCACACCTCGCAATTTCTGATTCAAGGAGAAGATTCATGTGGATTAACCCTCAAAGCACCATATAAATGTGTTAACATCGTGACCAGACACAAAGCTTTGTTTTTCATAGTTCTTAAAGGGATAGTTCACCCAAAAGCAAAAATTCTGTCATAATTTACTCACCCCGAAGTTGTTCCAAACCTGTATGCGTTTCTTTGTGTGGAACATAAAAGACAATATGTGACACTGGAGCACAAAAGCAGTCTTAAGTCGCTGGGGTATATTTGTAGCAATAGCCAAAAATACATTGTATGGGTCAAAATTATCGATTTTTCTTTTATGCCAAAAATCATTAGGATATTAAGTAAAGATCATGTTCCATGAAGATATTTTGTACATTTCCTACTGTAAATATATTAAAACTTAATTATTGGTTAGTAATATGCATTGCTAAGAACTTCATTTGGACAACTTTAAAGGTGATTTTCTCAATATTTTGATTTTCAAATAGTTGTATCTTCAAATATTGTCCTATCCTAACAAACCATACATCAATGAAAAGCCTATTTATTCAGCTTTCAGATGATGTATAAATCTCAATTTCGAAAAATTGACCCTTATGACTGATTTTGTGCTCCAGGGTCACATATTATTAAGAATGTTGGTAACCAAGCAGTTGCTGGTCCCCATAGACTTTCATAGTATAATTCTATGGAAGTCAATGGGGACTAGAAACTGCTTGATTACCAACATTCTTCAAAATATCTTCTTTGTATTCAGCAGAAGAAAGAAACTCATCCAGTTTTGGAACAGCTTGAGTGTCTGTGAGTAAATGACAATTTTTCTGTTTTGGGTGAAGAATTTCTTTAAAGAGACCATTCACCCAAAAATGAATTTATAGTCCAGGGGTCACCAGACTCGGTCCTGGAGGGCCGGTGTCCTGCAGAGTTTAGCTCCAACCCTAATCAAAACACCTGAACCAGATAATAAAGGTCTTGCTAGGTATACTTGAAACTTGCAGGGAGGTGTATTGAGGCAAGTTGGAGCTAAACTCTGCAGGAAACCGGCTTTCATTGTATGGAAATGAGCATGAGAACTGCTAAACATGTCCTTTTGTGTTGCACAGAACAAAAGCAACTCGTACAGGTTTGAAACAACATGAGAGTGTATTAGTAACGAGCAAGTGACAATGCTCATTTTCATTCTGAGTCAATAAGCTATTTGAAAATGAGACTCTGTATTCCGAATCCGAAAGCAACACATAAACTGGTTTCTCTACCTCGTTCTGTGCTTTGGACCATGGATGGTTGAGGAAGTGGTGGCCCATGTCTCGGATCACAAACTGGCCGTTTTCAATGCTGGTTTCAGAACACAGAACAAAATGACACTGGAACGTCTTCTTATGAACTGACATTAAACAGTTAACACATAACTGATCCAAGCTCACCTGACTCTCTGCTGAACACCTCCGGCACAGGGTGCATACAGGTTATAAATGTTGAGTCCTGAATTGTAGACTATAGCTTGAGCTGTATAGAGCTAAAGATTGATAGAAAGATAAGAAAAGATTAGTAAAGAATATGTGACATGACATCTTAAGCCATTAGTAGAGCACCGTTTAACTTACAGAAGTCGAGCAGTTCACATCCTGGTTATCGTAGAAGTTACACACTCCATCTTTGCAGCAAAAAGTCTGCAGGTCATTCCACAAGCTATGCATAAAAAAAATTTTTTTTTAAAAAGTAAAAAATAAATACACAAAGCTACAAAAAACAATACATAAATAAAATTCACAAATAAATTCTTTATTTTATTACAATGTATTTATTTTTTGCGTGTTGCAAGTAATAGTGACACGTGCCTTCACATCAAGCACCAATATATAAGAGTACATGTATAAAAGAGTTGTTAAATAGAGTCACACAAAAAGGTAAAATAAATAAATAAATAAATATCACACCTGGTCCCAAGAAGTCCATGATAGTACGCAAAATAGACCAGTGAATTGTCATTTAGTTCATAACTGGACAAGCCATTTCCAACTGCAATACCCTACAAAACACAAATACACACACGCCATACACTCTGCTGGCTAATCCACTGCGTCTTCAGCGACTCAGATGTCGGGAGTAAATGAGGACTGCTATATTCATTATTACATCCAACAACAGAACACGTCAATCGCTTAGGAGTCATTCTTGTCTACAACTGCTCCGGCGGTGAAACAATGGAGGACTGATGAGTCACTCAGGGCGGGTCTAAGGTAAGACGCCAGTCCAGTCTGTGCAAATACACACACGCCATACACTCTGCTGGCTCAATGTCTGTGTTGTTTATGGGCAATACAGTCAAAATAAAGTCCCTCCTACCTGTAAATTTATGCTGCTGTCCTCCATGACGATCTCAGCCAGCGTTGGAATGTAAATGCCTCCGTAACTCTCGCCAGTCAAGAAAAACTCATTCTTACTGAACTCAGAAAACAACCTGAAAAATTCTTTCAAGGCCAAGTAGTTGTTTGTGGCCACCTGGAAGGTCAGCGATTATATGGTTACCATTTTGGGTTTTGATCATAAACAGTTCAATTAAATATTATCTGTGCCACACAATTAAATACTCATATATATATATATATATATATTTTTTTTTTGTTTGATTTAAATCATACCTCTGTGTCATTGGTAGTGTACTTCTTGTCATCGGAGTAGGAGAAGCCGACACCTGCTGGTGACTCCAGGTATAAGACATTTGCAATCTGGAAAAACAGCCCATGTTTAGTACAATAAAGCTGGTTTGCTACAGCCAAGAATAAAAGACCATAAGAGCATGTGACTGGCTTAAGGAAGTGTCATAGTCCAGTTACCGAAACTGACCCCCAAGACTTCCTCATTTCACACCACAGAAATAACTCATTAGGTAATGCTGAAGTATATGTAGGCTATATATGCGTATAAGCCAAAATCCATACCTTGTTCCAAGCATAAGGATTATATTCTAGAGTTGCGCCGTCATCTTGGATCTGTGAATAACCGGAGAGAAGGGATAACACATTATTTAAAGCATTTATGCTTTTAAATATTTTAATAAAATTAATTACAGTTATAAAAAAAAAAGAAAAAAGTGTTGTAAAATCTCACCAGGAAAGGTCCGTGTTCTGTGAGCAAACCATCCAAGGAGCTACATCCTGGTCCTCCGTTTAGCCACAGAACAACCGGACTATTGGCCGGATCTTTCTGAGACTCAACAAACCTGAACAACAGGAACACAATAATGTTGGACATTTACATATGAGAATTTTCAAAACTATTCTTAGGGTCATTTAAATGAAAGTGAAAGTCGGACAGTCCAGCTTACCAGTAGTGAAGGTGTTTGTTATCTGCCACATTGAAGTATCCAGAATAATGCTTGAAGCTGGGCTGTTTTGAAAGTCCACTAAGATATTTGATCTCATCTGCATCTGGAGCCCCAGAAACCTCCAGCACCCCCAGCAGCAAACACACCAGCACAAGATGCATCTGAAGCACAGCAAAACACCACAGTTACGGACTTAACCTTCTTATAGAAAAGAAAACTCATCAATTATAATAATCTGAAGCAAAGAGGTCACCAAAAACCAAAAGGGTAATCATGTAACTCAGAGCACTAACTAGGAAATTGAGGGTTTATCCTATAATGACGGTGAAAATCTGACGCATGGACGGATATTATTCAGCAAAAGAAAGATTAAAATTGTTCACAGTATTGTTTTATTAGTCTTACCTTTCCAGGTGTGGGAACAAAAACGTTTACCGGCAAGTAAATTGTTTAAGTAGTCCCAAAATTCTTGTGACTTCAACTTTCCCGTGATGAAGACACATGATGTTTTTCGTCCGCGGTGTCAAAATAAAAGTGCACAAAATTTAAGCTGTCAATTATTCTAAAAACAAAGAAAACAACCTATAAATAAAGAATTATTTCTGTTTTCATGCTCATATCGAGGCCAGTATTGGAAATACATTATAAAACACCTTTTGTGCAAATTTTGTGAAGGTAATGCAACGATAAATAAAAAATAGGTTTACTATTCATACTTTAATTTTTAAGATACTATGTACTTCCGGTAATAAAACGGTAAAGGTAATGCAACGATAAATAAAAAATAGGTTTACTATTCATACTTTAATTTTTAAGATACTATGTACTTCTAAATGTATTCTTTTTTATTTGCAAGTCGGTCTAAATGGAAACTAATTATTATAATTTTTTTAAGACAATTATTTGTACCGCAATCGTTGTTTACAAAGGAACATCAGAACTGGAACTTTTATTTTGGAAACAGCGTCATCAACACAGTCTCTAAGCAACTCGCAGTTCCGCACAGGATCACCGCAAGGTTGCGGCAGTTTTGCATGCGGGACTTTCGTTTTAATTGTTCGGACAAACAGGACGCCGCGAGCAAATCGCAGGATGGTTTCCAGGTTCCCATGGTAACGGTAAGAGTTTGCTTCCATGAACTGACAAAACCTTTCATAGGAATCAAAAATTCTAGAGCTCTGTATCTACAGCTGCATTCATTGTTATAAATGTAAGCTAGCTTGTTAGCTGCCCTGTTAGTCGAAGCATCGATTGTTCTTTTTGATTGTTGGAAGCCGTAAATGTCGTTTTGGTAGTAAGAAAACAACGTTTGAATCGTTCAACTCGAGCATGAACGCACACGATTGAAAAAAAAAAACGAATTTAAAGCAACGGAGCATCTAACGTTACTGTGCGGAGCAACATGGCGCCTGATCGAATCCCACACTAGACGAAGTGTGCGCGGTTTTCCCTACAGCTTTTAAAAGGACGGAATATGCACGGTATGCATTTTTTTTTCACAGGAATACGCGGTCTTTGTCGTTTGTAGCAACATTTGCGCGTTCTTTTACACGGTTTGATTTCGCGTGACCACACGACACGGTCACAAAATGTCGGAAGGGTTGTTGTGGCGCCGACGAGGATTTTATATGCTGTCCATTGTCACTTGTTGCCAGTTTTCACTGTCTCTGCCTTTTGGATAATAAAAAGTGGAGGAAATATGACAGTGGAGGATGATAGACAGTGTAACAGATTATTAAAATACTAAATCGCGCGAAATTCCATAGTAGCAGTTTATTGTTTTGACTCTTTCAACAATGGGAGACCGTAAGAACAGGCGTGTTTTACAGGGCCATACTTCTTGAATGTCTAATATTCAAGCATTAATATTAATATATTATTAGTAGTAATAGAGTGCCAAAATACTGAATCATAAGAAATGTTTTTTATTTTTATTTAAGCCCATATTTTACCTTTTTATTTGTTGTCCAACGCCTGTTCAACAAAACATATCATTCTAACACTAAGATACATTAAACATGTATAAAATCCTGTTTTGATAATTTTATTTGAATTGACATTAGTTTTAAGTTTTATAACATTTGAACTCTCCCTGTGAGAAAATGGAAATAGAAAATGCTACAATCCTACAAAACTTTACTATGTTGGTACACACTTACCATCTCTAATTTGTCAGAGTACAGTACATAGTATATAATATCTTGTAATCTGATAATATAATATAATCCCAAATTCATGTTTTCACTCTCCATTGTTGGCAGTTGATATTCTTGAGGTAGAGTCATCTGAAAAAGTGCAAAATCATTTAGGTGGAACGACCAGCATTCATCTGGTAAGGTATTGAGCAGCTTTGGAAACTCAGGGTATGATATCATGTTTTGCAACTTAACAAAATGTCACCAGACTGCCAAAGTGGACCACAAAGTCTACAGCATCTGTGAGCTCTTACCATCCAACTACTATGACGAAAACATGCACCGTAACAAGCGGGCCAAGAAACTGTGACGATTGCTTTCAGATGTGCGTTGTAGTGGAAAATTTGGTCTAATGGCAAATATTTGACGATACCCCTTGAGCCATGATGTCCAGTGTCCACTGTGTTTTTGTTAACCTACTGACTGGTTCATCAAGCGTCGCCTCCATGTTGTGGATACCGATGTTAGCGAATTTTTTAACTTTGGACAACCTGCAAGAAATTTTTGGGGAGCATTTTCTGTTTATCCCCAAGAACAAGCCTTATCTTCAATGACAAGCTTGCATATTTTCCGTTGCGTGCTCTGTGGAAACCCGTTTGTGGTCAGTTCTTCCAACAGGTTTTCCTGTCGTCTTCACCCACAGTCTTTCATCAAATACTTGAGAAATGTGTTTCATTTAAAAAGGCAATCTGAGGAGCATCTTTGCATGAGACTTGAAGTGCAGCTGCAAAATCCAAGGACTCCTGCGATCAAGGCCTCACTAAGCCAAAAAGTTCATTTATTTTCAGCAATTTATTTGGTGTAAGTGACCGTAAAGTGTTCATATGCCAATTGATCAGGCAGCAAAACACTGCATGTGAATTAAACTGCACTTAGAAATTCTACTTGTTGTGAAGTTTCTCAAGTTTGTCTTTAAAGTCAACATGAAACTAGATTGGCACAGTATTTTAGAATGAAATGGGATATTCAATTAGAAAATTAATAATGTTCAAATCAATCAATCTACATTCAGATATCAAGATGTTTTAAGAAAGTAAATCTGATCGATTTTGATTTCATGTTGACTTCTGCGGTGTTTTCTTACTTTGCCCAGTTATTTTACCTCTGGAATCTCTCTTTTCTTACATGTCGATGCATCGTCAATTTCAAGACCTTGGGGGAAATATAGCTAATCAAATAGTCTTGTAACTAAAATCAACTGCAAGCGTTCCTTGAAAAAGGGCCATTGAACCTAAAGATCGTAGAGGCATGTCGCACAGAAGAAGCCGGAGTAATACGCCACCCTCGTACACCACCAACAGCAATGACCCTCGTGAGCTGGAGCGACGGATTTTTGTCGGAAATTTGCCCACGGCACACATGGCGAAGAAGGACATGGAGGATCTGTTCAGGCCATATGGGAAAATACAGGGTTAGTAGCGTACAAACTCAAAGCCTTTTTAGACGTTTCGGGAAATTTCATAGTGTTCGCTGCAGTTTTAACTGCTTTAACCCACAGTTCTTTAGACTTCGGTCTAAAGGCTTTGGTTGCGATTTGCAAAAAGCAAGGGAAGCTTAGGCCAAAAATCCACCAAAAAGCGTCTTTTTGCGTAAAACGAAAATGATTGTTCCCTTTTCCAGCTTTGTCCCTGTTTCGTGGCTACGGATTTGTGCAGTTTGAGCGAGTGGAGGATGCTGAGGCCGCTAAAGCCGGACAAAACGGCCGAATTTATAGAGGTTATAAACTAGGTAAGGTCTGATTTGGTATTAAACACTGGAGTGATTTGGGGAGTTGTTACATCAAGTTTTAAATTTTAGCTTAAGAGAATTAAATCATATGACCAATTAATTGTATTACTGTAATAACTCCAATATGGTGAATCTAATAAAGCCAAACTTTACCTTAAATATGTTCCTTATGCAAACTGCATATTTAAGTTTCATTTTTTTTCTTTAAGCATTCTGTCTTGAATTTTTGTACATGTAAAGGTATAAATAGAGGCTATAAATCCAAAGGAACGTTTTACAAATATGTTATATTGGTGTCCTGTGACTTTTTGAAATTAATTAATATGCAGATCCCATGTTTTCCCATTTCACTTGTTCTTTTTGACTGCTGCAATTATAATTTTCTTGACTGTATAATTAAAATTATACAATTGTATCTGAATTTATGGCATTTTTTGATTTGCTAATGCTATAATTTGTACTTTTTTTTTTATACTCCCATTTGTCCAAAGCGGCAGTTATTGTTAGTGGTCTAATAAGGTCTAATTTGAGAGGTGTTTAATAAGTGTTTACAGCTGGGAATGTCAAATACTGTCGTACACATGATGCACAGGTTCACAAGATCCTTTGCTGCTCTTTCCCCATCAGTGTAGTACTTAATTTTCAACTGCCATTTAAATTTTGGAAATGTTTACAATTTAGACACAACTTGTCTATTTTGATCTGATGCAGAATGTCAAATGTTCATCCTCTGAGTAAAAGAAAAACTCGTTTGGCTCTGAAATATTTCCGTCTTTTGTCATATTGAACGTTTGGATTGGTTTATTTGCAGATGTAAATATGGCAGCGGAGAGACGACAGAATAAAGCCAGGTCAAGCCCTCCACGCAGGTAAAGTATCGCTGGGATTTTTGCTAATGAAGACGACCTCTATCGAGAATTTTGGTAAACGTTTTTCCCTCCACAATGGAATTCATCGAAAGTTCTAAAATGCATAAATATCATTGTCGAGTGCGCAAAAACGGTTCGGTCTATCTTTCTCATGGCTCTTCGGTTTTTAGTTTGTTCTATTTTTTTTTTTCCTTTTCATCACTTTTAGTTGTGTCAGAATTAACTGAAATAAAGTTGAAAGGGTCATTTGAGTACGTTTCCCCTTGGTGTGTCTTTGTCTAAACGGTGTGGTACTCAATCTGTTCACTTACTATGCACGGTTTTTCGAAATTGTCCACTGACAGTCGCTGCTTCCTGCTGGAGTCGTTTTCGACGCTCCAATTAACACTCACTTCAGAAGTTTGTTTAATATTAAAATGCATTAAAACATTACCAAAAACCGAATTATTTCATGTACTCAAGTGGGATGGAAACAATTAAAACTAATTTAAGCAGTTCATTCAATTGTTGGATGTGTTGTTTATTTTTGGAGGTTGGTGTTTGTCTTTCCAGTCAATTAATCGTCACCACGTTAGTTTAAAAAGAAAATGAGACTAATTATTTTGCAGTCGTGGAACAGTGCGGTTCATTCCGTTGGTTTATCTTAAAGCGGCTTAAAAAAATCCTAAATAATGCTGACAAAATGTAATAAAAGTGCATTTTTATCCTGAAACCTGCTGTTCAT